CTGTGTTGGAGAATTCAGATCATTGGCAAGGATACAAGTGGGACTTCTAGCTCCCAAACCTAGATATTAGAACATACCCCTCACACATGGCCAAAGCTTGCCTGCAGAGATGTGACCACAAAGCTGACCAACAGAGGAAGCTCAGCTCCACTATAAAGACAAGGATGCAAACTTTCTAGAATGCAGCCAAACTCAGACCAAATGTGCTCCACACTGAGACAGTAGAAGGAGAGCTCCCTGAGGAGGGTTGAAGTCAGAGAGGAAGTGGCTGACCTGGTTCCTGATTCTGAGCAACAGTAGCCTTGCCCACTTGTAAAAAGTGACCCAGTGAATATCAGCCTTTGTCCAGCCAGTCTAGACACTTGTCTTCCTAAACAGGAGCAAAAAGGGAAATAGCAAGAGATACCACATATACTCTAACATGCCTCCATCACAGAAAGAGAAAGTTTGAATGGAATTTCAAAAGAAGGGCATAAAAGAGAAATGTTGCCTCTTTCCCAACAACACAGGTCTCCTCCTTTTTTTTAAAGATTTTATTTTTTCATTTTCAGAGAGGGAAGGGAGGGAGAAAGAGAGAGAGAGAGGGAGGGAGAGAGAGAGACATCAATGTGAGGTTGCTGGAGGTCATGGCCTGCAACCCAGGCATGTGCCCTGACTGGGAATTGAACCTGCGATGCTTTGGTTCGCAGCCCACGCTCAATCCACTGAGCTACGCCAGCCAGGGTGAGGTCTCCTCCTTTTAATCTTAGCTTAAGCAGTAAGAAACCCCCACCCTTCAACATGGGCACATGTACACACACACACACATCACCCAATCTAACCTGTGCAGGAAGCACAAGGTGGAAGTTGAGTGGAATAATGGAGTTTGGCCTCATAGCTGAACTTCTCATCCAAGTAGAACACAGACACTAGACTAAAGGCATGTCCAACCCAGAAAAACACAGGAAAGAAATTGCATAACTTGTGTCCAGTGTGCAAGGGAAGTTGTTGCTGAATCTCGTTCCTAGAGTCCCTATGGCTGACACCCTACCCATTAATAGAACCATGGTGATGGTTCTATTCATCTGCCATTCTGGAACATTAACCCAACAGACCAGCAGGCCACGGTTATAGGCTCACACCAAGAGGGCTTTTTGATCACTTCCTGAGAGCAGGACCCAGGGCTCACCCTTGCGCGGACCCACTGCCCAACTGTCAGGTGGAGCACTGGACGAGCAGTTAACTGGGACGTCCTTGGCATGTATTCTCCTCCCAGTTCTTTCCTCACTAGCTGCATGAGCTTGAACAATTTTTTTCCCTTCTTAGGTCTCAATTTCTTCCTTGCTGAGTCTCATCTTCCTAATTTCAAAACAGGTATCTTTTAAGGAGCCCATGGGCTCCAGAATGGTGGGCGTGGGATGTGTTCTCCTGGGCAAGGATTTCATCAGGTCAGGAGGAAATGACCAGTCCACCAACAATGGTGGTCAAGGGAAAGGAAGTCTGGTTCACTCTTCATAAGCCAAATGAGGCTTATTTGGAAAGACAATGTGAGAAAACCTCTCACAGGAGACAAGCCAAAAGTTGTAAGGAGCAAAATCCCACTTGCAGAAGTAAATGAAGAAGAGCAGAGAGAGAGAAATGGTAAAGTTGGGGGATTGATACAGAAATCACTAAATACCATTCAAAGAACCAAAGTGAGAAGCCTGAGACTTCTGGTCAAGATGGTGGCATACATAAATACAGTACTCAAATCCTCCCACAACTACATCAGAATTATGACTGAACTACAGAACGCCCATCATTCAGAACCTTCAGAAATTTAACTGAATGGGTGTCCTACAATTAGGGATTTAAAGAAGAAGCCACACTGAGACTGGTAGGAGAGGTGGAGATGTACAACAGGCTTGTCCCACACCACATGTGGCCAATAAAAATTGGGAAGGATATCTTGGCTGCAGAGGTGCCCCCTGAGGAATTAGGGGTCTGAACCCAACACCAGGTACACCAGCCCATGGTTCCAATGCCAGGAAGAGAAGTTCCTGTAAACTCTGTTTGTAAAACCCAGCAGGGATAGTGACTGAATGAGACAGAGGGTTTCTGGAGTCCCAGGCATTCCTCTTAAAAAGGCCAGTGCATGAACTTACCTGGACTCACTCCCTGTGAACTCCAGCCCTGGGGCAGTACTTTGAAAGGAACCTGAGACATATGGAAGGAAGTGAATTGTCTGGCATCAAGGCAAGAACTGTGGGGGTGGGGGAGGGCAGCTTTCTGCCACACAAAAGTGCTGGCAGAGGCCCTTATTCCTTTTCTGACACCATCAGTACCTACTCACCCATAGCAACAGCAGGTAGGTGCCATATGTGAGTCTCCACATCCCTGGCTATCACTGTTCAACCTACCCTGGTGACTCCCTGAGACCCTGCCCCACCCAACTTGTAGGCCCATTCAAGCTGTTTCTAGTGTCTTTCCCATGCCAATGGCCTGTCTTGGCTCATGCTTCACACTTTCCTTAAATCTCCCAAATAAGCAACATCTGGCCATGGTTTATCCTGTACCATTTGCTAAATGGCCCCAGGCCCAGCACTATCAGTAGCTGCCTTTGTTCACAGCTTGGCCTCCCCTGGGCACCTCCAAGCCTAGTACAAGTAGCAGCAATCTGCAGATTGCTTTGTAGCTCATGCCAGGTGGCCCTGTGCAGAACACACAGAAGTTGACCTTGGCCTGAACCTCCCAGAAGGCTCCAGAGTCAGCTATCCAGTAGACAACTTCAGACTACATCAAAGCACCATCTAACCACCCCCACACCAACACATTCAAGGGGTGGACTCAGTAGGAACCAGAGTCCTGCCAAAGTAAGTCCTGCTCTGATGGGTGGGCCTCCACATAGCTGATCCTCCGCATAGCTGATCCTCCACAGTGGTCAGTGGTCACAGCCTGTCCTTACAGCTGATCAGTCTGTAGGTAAATCCTTCCCATTGACATGCCAATAGCAATCAAGGCTCAACTACAAGACAAGGGTGTACACAGCCCACAGTTGAGGGGGATACACCTGGAATGCCCATCTTAGATGATATGGGAGGCTTTGCCACTGGCCCCTGAAGAACACCTACAACATAAGGCCACCCTACCAAGCCCAGGAGACATAGCAACTCTACCTGATACATAGAAACAAACATAGGGAGGTGGCCAAAAGGAGGAGACAAAGAACTATGTCCCAAATGAAAGAACAGAACTTCAGAAAAAAGAACTAAACAAAAAGGAGACAAGCAATCTACTAGATGGAGAGTTCAAAACAGTGGTTGTAATAAAGATGCACAGTGAACTTACAGGAAGAGTAGGTGAACTCAGAACTTCAACAGCATAAAAAAGAACATGGAAACCATAAAAAAGACCAGTCAGAAATGAAGGCTACAATAACTGAAAGGAGGAATAATTTACAGTGAATCAAGAGTAGAGTAGACGTGGCTGAGAATCAAATCAGCAATTTGAAATATAAGGAAGCAAAAAATATCCAATCAGAACAGCAAAAAGAAAAAAGAATCCAAAAAAAATGAAGTTGGTATAAGGAGCCTCTGGGACAACTTTAAGCATACCAACATTCCCATCATGAGAGCACCAGAAGAAGAGAAAGAGGTAGAAATTGAAACCTATTTGAAAAAATAATGACAGAAAACTTTCCTAAACTGGAGAAGGAAATAGACATGTAAAGAAAGTGCAGATAATCTCAAACAAGATGAAACCAAAGAGGCCTACTCCAAAACACACCATAATTAAAATGCAAAAGATTAAAGACAAAGAGACAACCTTAAAAGCAGCAAGAGAAAAACAGTTACCTATAAGGGAGCTCCCATAATACTGCCAGCTGATTTCTAAACAAAAATTTTACAGGCCAGAAGAGATTGGGAACAATTATTCAAACTGATAAAAAGCAAGGACATACAACCAACATTACTCTACCCAGCAAAGCTATCATTTAAAATATAAAGATATATAAAGAGCTTCTCAGACAAGAAAGAGCTAAAGGAGTTCATTATCACCAAACCAGTATTACATGAAATGTTAAAGAGTCGTTTTTAAGAAGAAGAAGAAAAAGATAAAAATTATGAACAATAAAATGGCAATAAATACATATTTATCAACAGTTGAATCTAAAAAAAAATAAATGAATGAACAGAACAGATACAGACTCATACATACAGAGACCATTTAGATGGTTGCCATATGGGCGACAGGTTGGGGTGGTGAAAAAGGTAAAGGGATTAAGAAGCACCAATTGGTATGTACAGAATAGTCAAGGGATGCAAAGTATGGTATAGGGAATATAGACAATATATTCTAATAATTATGTATGGTGCCAGGTGGGTACAAGATTTAGTGGGATGGCCACTTAGTAAGTTATGTAATGTCTAATCACTGTGGTATGCACTTGAAACTATTTAATATTGTGTGCCAACTGTAGTTGAAAAATAAAAAATAAGAAAATGGAAGAACTACTGTGCTGGTATCTTCAGCTCTGCCTGAACTCAGAGGTCTTTAAGTATTTCACTTTCAGTCACATGCACACGGCATTCTGAGGATTCCTAGGCTCTCTCCTTCCATTTGTCTCAGTAACCAACCACACACTTGAGAGAAGCCTAAATATACATTTACTATCCACCTAGAGGTAGCTAGGGAAAATTGCGGGCATAATGAAAAAAAGGGAATACTCAACTCTGCAGTGTTCACTTTCAAACCCACACCTGTGAAGGGGAGGAGGGACTCAGATACCTCAGGGACCAGGCAGATAATACAAATAAAAGAGACAGGCCAGGTGACACAGCACAAGTCTTGTCCAGACAGGCAACTCCTACTTAGTTCCAATTGATTGTCCTCTTTTGAAAATGCAGATCAGAGTTGTCTCACCTTCTGATGAAGCCAGAAAGGCTGATTGTCATGTGAAACCTCCTGATTCTCAGTGGCTCAATTTCCCTAAAAGCACTCAGCGAGTGACAAATGAAGATTAGAGTCCAAAAGTCTCCAAAGGCCTGGTGCGCAGAGGGAGACGTCTCCCTTAACTGTGGTGTTAGACTGCCACTCTCCAGCCAGCACTGCAACTGCAACTGCAACTGCAGCTGCAACAGAGGTGTCCACTCACAGGGGCACTCCTGCTCTACTCTGCACACAGCGGGGCTCCCAAGCCGTGTGAAACCACCAAATACAGAAAAGGGGAAGGCTCAGCTGGGCCACCCACAGACAGCAGTGGGTACTAAATGGCAGACTGCTCCTGCAGGAAGCCCTCAGGGCCTGGGAGGCCCTTGTCTGGCTCAGAAGCCAGGGCTGCTTCTCGAAGGACTTCCAAGTGCTCCTCGGCGGCTGACAGTGACTGGTCAATCCAGTCCAGGCCCCCGCTCAGGTGGCAGGCATTCCTGGTCACCAGCACCAGATGACTGACAGACAGGAGCAGGGCAGTTGTCCTAGGAGAAAACAAACAGAATCAGATGCCCTAGGAAAGAAGGGACTTTGTACCATAGCCCAGATGGTTGGAGGTCTAAGTCTGTTCCCCAAAATGGAGCCCTTTCCCCAGGAGGCTGGTGAGTGTGTAACTGAAAGATAGGACCACGCTCAAACAAACTGGGAATGGCTAGTTTCAACAAGGAGAACTGAAGCCCTTCCCAGAGCCTCCAGTGTGCACGATAACGCTCCAGGGAGAACATCACATGCTGTGTCTCGTCAGCTTATTTAAGACTCTGACACCCACTTTCTACTTCATAGCCGTTCACAGCTTCTGGGAGAGGGTTTCGTGGGACAATTGGGGTCTAGTCAGTTGGATGAGCACATAACCCCACCTATTCATTCTGAATCAATAGAGTAGGCCCAGGGCAGGTTTACCCTACTCTAAAAGAAAAACATGTATAGAAAACCCATTTGAGGGGAAGTATTTTTCAGCTGTATGGAAAGATTCGCTATAGAATATCCTGTACACGGTGAGCGCGCAGAGTGCCTTTGGGACTGTGTTATAGGTCACAGCCCACGTCACAGCTGCACAGCTACAGGACTGCTGGGGTGGAGAAACCAGTGGCAGCACCGGGACCCACTGCCCAGCTGGCAGTCATCACACAACACGTCTATGACACAGTCATGGAAATCCGAGAGACAGAGAATCTGGTCTTTAAGACGGGCTTACGGCTGGTACAGAAAGACAGCAGCTTCAGATGCTAAGTATGTACTGTGTACCGGGGGGATCACAAGGAGGGCTTCCTGGGTATTCCGTTCTCATTGCCCTGCTCACATGCACCCCACTCACCCACTGGGCAGCACTCACAGCTCAGGTGTTTCTTCCAGGGTCCACAGAGCAGAGAGCGTGTGATGGAGACACAGGAGGGAGGGGAGGCACTGACAGGACTTAGTGGGACCAGATGTGTAATCATAACACTTGAAAATCTAACCTGACTCTTCCTTCTCCAGGGTTTCAGGACAGGGACTGATCTCTACACCCCAGCCAGGCTTGGCTCACTGCTTGGCTGACCATTCACACCACACTGAATGGTACCCAAGGCCCAGGACAGCCCAGAAGTCCAGCCAACAGCCTTCTCCTCAACCACCCAAACAGCCCAGCTCACAGATCTGATCAGCCAGTGAGGCCCCAGCGTGGAGAGAACAACCACTGTCACCGAGCGTCCAGCAGTTTCGGGTCCAGCGGAGGGTACATTGATTTCACAACATCATCGACTCTGAGGGGAGGCAAAACGTGTTCAGTATTTCAGTCTCCTTGTCTCCTCTATCCCTCCTTCCTTTCTCCCTTTCTTTAGCCCAGTTCTTTTTTGATATTGAAGCCCACATCTTCTATGGTTCTTTCTCTAACTGCTTCTGTATTCTTCAGCATAGACTTTGGAAGGCTTCAAGGTCAATTTCGAGAGTATTTTGTTTGCTGGTTTAGTTTCAGTTTCAATAGGTGAAAAAGTACATGTTCAAACATCTGGGATGACATTCAAGATACACTATTAATTAAAAAGACATACTGCCAAACAATATATAAGGTTTGATTGGTAGCATTTGTATAAAAAATAAACAAACAATAGCTCTGAAATGCAGAGGAGAGAAGTCTGGGGAAACACCCACTGTTCAGTAGAAGTCAGCTCCACGAATTGGGAGGGGCAGAATTAGGGATACTTCACTTTCTACATAATCAGATTCTGCAGTGTTTTAATTTTTACAGGTATTTATATTTTTGTGTTTTAAAGAGACTGTGATTAAAAGTTATATGTAACACTAAAAAAACACAAGTTTAATTTGGGTAAAAACTGTTTCATTATATTTTTTAAACATATGATATAGTTTGTGGTTAATTTTTTTAAGATTTTATTTATTTTTTTTAGAGAGGGAAGGGAGGGAGAGAGAGAGAGAGAGAGAGACATCAATGTGCAGTTGCTGGGGGTTTTGGCCTGCAACCCAGGCATGTGCCCTGACTGGGAATTGAACCTGCAATGCCTGGTTCACAGCCTGCACTCAATCCACTGAGCTACGTCAGCCAGGGCTAATTTTTTTAAAATCTAGTTCAAAAAGGAATAAAATGTTCATTCTGATTTGCATAGCACAAGTTCTTGCTCCAAAGTTTTGCTCTTGGACCACTTGATAATCAGGAGGAAAAAATAACAATGTATTATCTTATTTCTAAGCTTCCTTGTCTCAGGGCTGAGGGGCTGGTGAGAAAATGCAGAAATGCAGAGACACGATCGCTCTCAGCCTCTGCTCAGCCGGCCCCTTTCTCCACAGTGCCCAAAGCTGAAGCCACCTCCCTTGAAACTAACATGCTACCCACACACCATGTGAAACCAATGGAGCAAGATCAGTGGGGACAGGATCAGCCAGAAGGAGAAAGAAGTGTGAGGACAAAAAGACAAAGCAAGGATGCTAATTGGTTATGGTAGAGAACATTCTGGAAGTAGTCTGAGTGCTCTGCAGGAAGGGCCAGTGAGCACCAGGTCAAGTCCTCACCCACACTCTAGCTCCACTGCTAGTCCTCATCACCCAGGACTTCACTCATCCTCAGAATCTTTCCTCCTCCAAACCCTCCTGTTAGTGTGGCCTTCTCCCCTGGTATCATGTGAATTTGTCTTGCCTTTAGGAGTGACAGGAAGCATGAGGGAGGTCCAGCCGGAATGAACAATGCGGAGTCTCCATAGTAATGAGTGGCCAGAGGACAGTCTGGCGCTTGCACAGAGCCTGTGTTGGAAGGTCTTTCAGGTCAGGGGACAGCCTACTCTAATGTAAGCCATGCTGTTATGTTGGTGATTAGCTAATTATTGATGAGAAAGGGGAGCAAAGGGAGTTAGACATTGAGTTTAATAAAATGGGGAGCATGCACCTGTTTGCACCATCAGGAAGCTACAGCTTCATGCCTCAGGGGGTTTCAGCATTGTTCTGCCAAGGGGATTAACACCACTTTCCCCTGTCTGGTACCGGATAGTTGGTGTACACTACGGGAGATGCTTGACCGAAGAGGCCTGTCAGACTAACCAGGGAGTAAACTTGGGAAGTTGGTTGTGGTTTGTTTGTTTGTTTTTTTTTAAAGCACCTGATCTTTTTCAAGCCAAAGCTAATATATTCCTTGGGGAATAAAATAGTGTTCTCTCTCTCTCTTTCTTTCTTGCCCAGTGACCTGCAACCATATGGTGCACTCACCTGTCTTCTCCATGGCCACGTGGCCCTAGCAGCTCCATGGCCCATGACCGTGGGGACTTTACACACAGGCCCCAGGAGGGAGCCTGAATGCAGCAGCCCAGGAGTGGACTACAGCTGGAAACACACCCTAAGCTAGCCAGATGCTTGACTGGGCTGTATGTTGATAGGAGCATAAACCCTGGGCAGTGGTCTTCATCCTGGCCCTACTGAAGATGAGATTGGACCGTTTACATGATGAGATGGACAGAGATGGGACATTGGGAAGTCAGGAGGGGAACCCCCTTATTTTTACATCATCAGTAAAGTTCACCACCACCAAGCCCCTTCCTCTTCTGCGGGTCTCAGGAAATTCTTTTCCTTGCAATACCACAAGAACTCATTTTCTACAATAACAATATAACCAAGGAGAGCTTCACAGAAAGCCAAGAACTATACTGGGCTCAGTCCCTCCCACTTCCTCAACTCACTGAAGTCCTTGGACAGAGTTCAAGTTCACCAACTCTTTCATATTCCCCCAGAGGGCTGGTTCCTTGTGATTCACCCAAGGCATGGCAACCAGGAAAGCGAGGGACCCTGGAGCTCAGGGGGTGCCACCATTCCCAGTGGTGAGGCCATGTGGCTGATTGAGAAATCATCCTGGACAAAGATGAAACAGCACTTAGGCACATCCACATACCAGCCACCAGATGGCAGCACAAACTCAGCACAGCCCTGCCCTCTAAGAAAGGGGCTTTATATTTCTTCACCAAATTGAGCCCACAACGGAGTATAGCTGTTGACTGCAATCTGCTGGTTGCCTCCCACATGGGATTTTGCTGATGCCTGGAATTTGGGAGATCTGAGTGATACATGGCTTCACCTCCCACCCAGTCCTGGAGGCTGCGGGCTGGGCCATGGATGGGGCAGTGGGTGACAGCCACCCCCAACTTAGTCTCCAGTACAGATACAAGGGGGGGACAGGACACGGCCAGGAGGTCATTGAGGTGGGTGTGTCGGCCCCTGTGGGAAATGTGCTTTCTGGCCCCGAGCCTGGGAGAAAGGAGTGGCAACAGGGAGGGAAGCAGCCCCAGCTGGTATGGACTGAGAAAGAGGGAGCAGCCACAGTGGGATCTGTGGAATGGAAGTCAGCACTGGTCAGATGCTGCAATTTCCCAAAAAGCCTGCTGGAGGTGGGGAAGCTGTGTGAGAACATCTCAGCTGGAGAGTGTCAACGCCTAAACCCTCCTGGATGCTCTGTGAGTAATTAGGACATAAATAACTGAAGGCGCCTGTGTGGGTTCCTGGAAGAGCCAGGCCCTGCTGCCACCTCAGCTTCCGGCCCCCCTTCCCCATGGCGTGGGGGCATTTAAGGCCCTCACCGCTCACCTGGGGCTGATCCGCTTGGCCACCACGATGATGTCGCTGACACTGGCTGAATTCTTCATCTTGGCCCCAGAGCCCATTGTCATGGCAACAAGCTTCCCTGTCAAAGGGTGACAGATCTAAGACAGCAAGGAGGAGAGAGGTGATGAGGAGGTGACCTAGCTCCCGAAAGGTTTCTGCCACCCCCACAAAGATAAATATGACCCCCACCTTGGGTCCGAACCCACAGCCGGGCCCCCTAACCAAATGCACAGATTGAAGTGCAAAGTGCACAGGAATGAGGTGGGAGAGGCCAAGCTGAGAACCCGGCTGGGTGAGGGGGGCGGGGTAGGAACCTCAGATCAGGGTCAGGGAATGCAGACTGGTGCAGCCGCTGTGGAAAGCAGTATGGAATTTCCTCAAAAAATTAAACATGGAAATGCCTTATGACCCAGTGATTCCACTTCTGGCAATTTAATGAAAGAAACCTGAAATACCAATTCAAAACAATATATGCACCACTGTGTTCATTGCAGCATTATTTACAATAGCCAAGATTTGGAAGCAGCCCAAGTACCCATCAGTAGATGAGTGGATAAAAAAGCTGTGGTACATTTATGCAATGGAATACTACTCAGCAGTAATAAAAGAAGGAAATCTTATGATTTGTTACAGCATGAATGGACCTGAGAGTATTATGCTAAGTGAAACAACCCAGTCAGAGAAAGACAAGTGCCATATGATTTCACTCAAATGTGGAGTCTATTGAACAAAGCAGACTGACAACAAAACAGACACAGACTCATCGACAGCAGGCTGACAGCTCTGGCTGGGGGAGAGGTTGGGGGATGGAGGGGTCAAGTATAAAAGAAAGAAAACCGAGTGGCGATTGCACGGGGCAGGGCAGTGGTTGGAGGTAGAAGAGAATACAGGGGGAATAAACAGTAACAGAAAAAATACAATAAAAATAAAGAAAAAAGTCTGTCTTCAAGTTGAAGTACTCATGGTATGAATTTTTAAACACTGATTATCCCAATTGACTGACTACTGTCAAAGCCAAAGAGGGCTAGTGAAGGTAATTCTTCTAGCAATTGGTGAAGTCCAGATACACGGCCCAAGTCGCTGCAGAGGGCCGGGCTCTCTGTTAACCAGGGAAAGTGCCCAGGGAGGAGGAGGGAGGCCCCGTTTCCCCCAGCAGCTACTCAGACTCCGCACACGGCTGCCTCCACAGCAGGCGAGAAAGGGGCTGGTGACCACCCACATGGTCTCTCCCACAGGTCACTCACTGCGTTGTGAGGACCAGGTGAAGTAAAGCCTTTGAAAGGGCTTCCAGAATCCTGATGGACAACAGACCGGCCATGAGGAGTGGGGCAAACACTAGAAACTCCGAGTCTCGGGCAGGTTCAAACAGGCCTCCTGCAAGGGTCCCACGGCATTCCTAAGCCCCTTTCAGCTCTACAATCTGTGCATAGGGGTGCTCGGTGACCGCCCCCCTTTGACTCCTGGGGCAACCGACCAGTATTACCTTCAAGACGGCAATGCAGTGGGACATGAGACCCCTGGGGAGACAAGCAGAATGTGTCAGAGCTTATGTTTAGAGGCCCGCCTCCCGCCAGCCACCACCTCTGCTCCTCATCTAGTTCTGACACCCCAGACACCACCCAAGGGCAGGATGCCTCTGTGTTAAAATGCGTAAGTCCATGAGCTAAATGAGGAAACACCTTCTCTCCTTAATGTTCCCCCACCCAACTCTTCATTAGTGTGTTCCCCACCATCGAGTCATGCCCTGAGCTTCTGATACTGTTCCTTCCCCCCAGCATACCCTTCCTTTTACACTCATCTTCAAAGGCCCAGGTCACAAGGCCCCCACTCTGTGATGTCCTTCATGAAGCCCACCCCCATCTCCCCGCCCCCGGCAACTGTAGACACACCTCCACCCGGTGCCCACTGCACCATGCACAGAGACCCCTGTTGTTTCTGAGATACTGTGCTTAGAGGAATTCTGTCTCCATACCAGTTTCATACCTGCAGGGCCTGCCCCAGTGCCCTGCACACAATGCCTCAGAGACATCTGCCCACTGAGTGGATGACCAAGAGATGGGGGCGTGGAGTGGCTCCCGTCAGATGAAGAGACCCCTGAACATACTGAGGACACAGGGTCTATCCCTGGAGCCTGACTGTCAGATTCATGGGCACCCCAAGGATAACCGAGTGTATCAGGGTGACTTTATAACTTTTGCCACGTGTCTACGTCATCGGTGTTCAGATCCACAGAAGGGTGGCAGGGTGGGGCTGTAGGACAAACACCACTATGTCATACTCTGATCCCTCCCCCCTTTGTGAGGGCAGGAAAAAGAGCAGAAACTGACACGGTGCTCCCGGATGCCCCTCAAGTACTCAAAGGAAGCCAGAAAAGGGCACAAGGAGCCCCGTTTGCTGCATCCAGAGGGCTCCAGGAAAGCCAACCATCCCCAGGGCCTTACGAGGCATCTTCAATCCAGTCTTCATTCTCCAGAATGGCCTCGATGTGGGGGTTGCTGGTGATGACATCGTCCAGTTCCAGTTCAGACGGCTCGGACTGGGTCTCCATGGCCCCAATGAGATCCACGATGGGCCTGGAAGGAAGAGCCCAGGGCAGCCGTTTTGTGATGGACGACAGCTGCCCACTCTTCCTGGAGGCCACAGTATCCCCCAAAAGGATGACGGCGGTGAGTACATTAAAGCAGGGTCCACTTGTCCTGGGTCCAAACCTAACCCTAATGGGACTGCAGTCACAGGCAGGGCACGTGGCTGGACAGTGAGTCATGAGGCAAATGGCACAAAAACAACAAAATGACGGAGAAGGAGATGAGCCACTAAGAAAAGGAGCAGGGCTGCCACCACAGTCATGGTGTGTTAGGGTTCCCCCTTCAGGACAAGACCACAGTCTTGTACCTTATTTTCCCTTCAAGCTTACCTTTTCCGAGAAGCCAGAGTTCCTAACACCCATCCTTCATGCACCTCCGATTCTGCAGAATCACTCTCCAGAACCACATTGGTCCAGCTACATGATCCCACCCCATCCTAGTACTGCTAGAGGAGTAACACCACCTGCTGTACCAGAGCTATCTTTTCAGTAACAGAGCTTTCCTGGGCATAAAAATGGGCACTTGCTAATTTTTATCCACTCGACAGAGATGCTGATAGGATTCAGATGGGGGAGCACAAGAAATGAAGGGTTAGAGGCCATGGTCCCTTGAGGATCAATGAAAACATCCCTAAACTGAAAGTAGGACCTTGCTTACAAAGTGGATTGCACATGAAGTGCATCATGAAGAAATCTGAGTGAAGAGAGGGACAGTGCTGTGCTGGGATTTCACGACACCGAGTGCTGCGTAGATGTGTGGCTGGAGTGCGGGCATCAGATTTCTGTTGCTGTGAGTCTGGCTGGGGAGAGTTTGGCCTGTCCAAATGCTAAGTGAAGTGTCCAGTTTTGGGGAGACGGCCACAAGTTTATGCTAGGTGAACATACTGAGTCACTTTCTCATTAGTTCAGTGACAGAGTCAGTGGAAGCTCAGGACATTAGGGGACTTAACCAACATTCTTAAGCTCTAAGCACTTTATAGAGAAGGAGAGCCTTCAGGTGCCATTTTAGAGACCAAAAGCTGAGCCAGTTGCCCAGTCTCAAACATCCTTTTCTCTCCTTGAAGCCCCAGGGCACACCCCCTCCCCTGCCTGGGTGAACTCAACGTGGGATCATAGCACTGCAGCAGGTCCCCAGGCCGGCCATAGCACTTTACAGACAGCAGTCCTGCAAGCCAGCCACCACCGAGGCTGCAAAGGGTGGCCTCCAGAAAGATGGTGGCCATCACACCTCTGGCAACAATGACCACGGTCTCCATGCTCCCAGAGGCTCCCTGGGTCCTGGTCACATCCCCCGCACCAGCTGCAGCTTGAAAGACACAGCCCAGAGCAGGCCTGGTAAGGAGGCTGCAAAACAGAGTGGGGCAAGGGGTCTTAGCTGCTGGGGTGGTGGGGGTTCTCTGGAAGGGGAAATTAGGTTGCCCCAAGCCACCTGGAGAAACTTGAAGACCTAAACAGAATCAACTTGCATTTTATGTCCTGCCCCAAATTTGCTTTTCTTTTATTGAAAGAGTCTGCTCCCCAGGTGGACCAGGATGGACATCTGTCCTCCTGGAGCAAAAGGAGACATTTTCACCAGCACTGCTGTCTTCACCTTTGCAAGTGCGGGAAAGAACACCCACCTCCCAGGGAGAAGGGCAGCATTGTGTTTACTGGAGTCTCCTCTGTGCCAGGCTCTTGTGTGTTAACTTCTAGTGACCCTAGGATGCAGGTGTTTCATGTCCCCATCTTCTAGTTGAAAGACATGAGGTTCAGGGATGTTAAGAAATTTGTCCGAGTTCACACAGTCAGGAAGCAGCCTCAGTTTCAGTGTGGGAACTTACAACTGGAATTACATTGTTCGTACTCCATTGAATGTTTTCATTCAGGAGGTTCTTTCACACCTACTCTAACCTCACAGGCAGGAAGAACAGGGGCATCTCCCAGAAGTATGTGTGCACATGTCCTGTCATTTTGGGCCTCCTGCTCGTGTCCCTTTAAGCAAGTCTCCTCCCCTCTCTGGGTTTTAACTTCTCCACCTGCAAAAAATGGTGCTTTGTCAGAGGAGTCTCTGGGTGCTCTCTTTGGATTTAATTCTATGTTCCATGTTTTAGAGGGTCCAAGCAAGGCAGGAGGTAGTCAGGAAGGAAGCTCCAGAGGCCCCGCAGGGCTGAGGTAGAAAACACCTATACATGACAAAGACCCCCTAAGACGGGTTGTTCCTGTTTTCTGGGATAACTCTGAATCATAGAATGCGCCTGCGCGCTACCCCCTGATTCATTATAATATCATTATAATGAAATAACATTGTGGGACTCCCTTCTCCAGTAGCCAATCAAGAAAGTCATGGGAAACCACGCATGCGCAGTAGCTTTGAAATCCAACTCCTTGTACCTGCGCAGGAAAAGCCCGCCAAAGACCAGCAAGGGGGCTTCTGCCCCTATAAGAATAGAATCCCCCAGCCCACGTGCCCTTTTTTTTCCTCTGCTCAGAGCTGGCCCACTCCCGTGTCCTGTGGCGTGTACTATCACTTAATAAACCTCCCCTCTTTCTTTATGCTATAAACTTTGTGTGTTCGGTTCAATTCTTTGTCCTCGATCACTAAGAACCTGGTTACCTGTGCACACCTGTGCACACCTGTGACACAAGTGCTCCTGGCTGTCCTTCAAAAAATACTCACTGACCATCTACTATGCACCAAGCCCTGAGCTGGATTCTGGAGGCTGGAGATAAACAAGACACAGACCTCGTCTTGAGGGTCCAGGGGAAGAGGTAGAAGACAGACAACCCACTTCACCCCACGTGCCTGTGCCACATGCAGAAATGCACAGAAAAGAGAGTCACTGTGCTTGCAGGGCATTTTCTGGGAAAGCCTTCTTCTCAGTGCAGGTGATGCTTGAGCTGGGTTTTGAAGGATGAGGAGTCTGCCAGGTGGACCAGGTGGACACTTGGCTGGCTCATACATAATGTCCTAGGTAAGGGCGCCTTTCTCAGAGTCCTCACGTGGCTGTTCTCCCACCTGGAACTCACCTGCCCACCAGGTGAGGCAGGGCTGGGCTTTCCTCCATCTCTGTGTCTCCCCTTGTGTATGTTGGGAGGAGTGGGGCTAATTCCAGGTCTGCCTCAGTTTCTCTAGATGTGTGCTTATACTGTCCCTTTGAAAGCATTACCTCCTTTAGCCCTTGTCCTCTCCTCCTGTCATTTCTCTCTCTCCATTTTCTCTCCACTCCAGAGGCTTTCCTCCCCTACCTCAATCTCCCCCCTTCTCAGCATTTCCTTTCCCCTCCCCCTGCCCCCGTGGCCTCTGAGACTACCCGGTTTGTTTCCCCTCTTTGCCTGTGTTTGAGCTTCCTGAGTTTTTGCCATGTTTCTCTGTGATTTTTCTGTGTTTCTTCGGGTGTGTTTCCTTTTTGTGTTTCAGGATGAGTTTTTCTTGCTTTCCCTTGCCCTGCCACCCAGAACACCCACCATAAACAACCTGGACAAAGGGAGGGACTCCCTCCACCTGGGCAGGCGCAGCATGGGGCATCGGGCCATCGCTCCAAGTTGGTGCCCACCCTGGAGCACTTTGGCCGCAGCAAAGGCTGCCCGTCTGGGGCTCCCCTCTCCCAAGGTGGTGCCCCACACCTCCCGCCAATCTGGCGCTCCTCCTCCCAAGGTGCCGGGGCTGCTTGCTCAGGCCCCCTCTCTTGCAGCACCAGGTCATTGCAGCTGACCTATCTCAAGCTACGACTGCAGGACACATTTGGGGGTGCTCACGTGCCCAGGCCCCCCCAGATGGCAAAGTCCTGGCAGGGTCCATCTGGCAGCTTCAAAGAGCAAGAATTCAGGGAAGGAGCTGGGCCATCCCAAAGAATCAAGATAAGTCCACTGGCACAGCCAAACCCCAGGGGATGGAGCAGGAGGGGGAATGATGAGGCTGCATCTAAATCCCTCACTGCCAGAGGGATATGATCTCAGCCAGGCCCCCCGTGGGCTGGGGTTTGGAGCTGCAGAAGGCAGTTACTCTGAGACCCAACGAGCAGCCTCCCACCCCTGCGGTGGCCTGGTCCAGGCTGGAAGAGTGGAGGCAAGCCAGAGTGCAGGGGTGCCCTGGCTCCCCACAACTGGCCACCCAAAGGGTCTGGGGAGCAATAGCAGTTGTCACAGTGTGACTGTGTGTCTTTGCCCAGGTGTGCTCTGCTCCCTGCTGTCAGTTTAAACCCTGGCTCTGCCACTCACTAGCTGTGGACAACTTATTTCACTTCCTGTGCTTTGCTTTCTTCATCTGTAAAATGAGACTACTACTTGTAAGTAACTTCAAGTTGAAATAACATGATGGGTACAATGCATTTAAGAGGGAAGAAGCTAGTTCCTAGCCTGTGGGTGAAGGTCATATCTGCAGAAGGAAGGAGTGAACATTTGTTGAACACCAACTATAAACCAGACACTGATTTACATAGTATATGCCTTATCTCATTTGATCTCACTATCCCTGAAAAATCAACACGATTATGTTTGCAAGGGAGGAAGTGGATGTGGAGATGAGCTTACAGAGCTCTCGGTGTGTAAGTGGTAAGGGAGGGAGTGGACTCCCCAGCCGCAAAACCCACAGCACACATACCAGGAAACTGCTAGCTCTACCCCCAACCCGGTCTCTGGGCAGCAACCCCTTCCCTCCAGGCAGACAGAACCAGCGGGTGCCACACACTCCCCCTGCCCTAGCAAGGAAAGCTTCTCACATTGCCTCTAATCCTTGATAAACCTTCCTGGGCCACCTCTGGGCTCTCAGAGGGGCAGCAGAGTGGCATCCTTCACCCCCACCTAGCAGGGGGTTAAGAGCGTGAGCCTGAGTCAGGAAAACCATTGAAGGTGTGCCTCTTCCACATAGTGGCCATACGATCTCAGCCAGCTCACTCAGGTTTCCCCGTCTGTGGAAAGGGCATGGTGGTAAAACCCATGGCCAGCCTAGAGTTGTTTTGAAAATTAAAGGAGACGATGCATTTAAAGTGCTCATCACACAGAAGGTGCCGTGATGGTGGCCAGGGCCTGGGGGAGGGGAGGAATGGGGAGTTACCATCTAAAGGAACAGAGTTTCCATTTGGGAAGATGATGGAAGTGCGGAAGATAGATGATGGTCAAGGCTACACGTAAATTTAATGCAGGTGGACTATATACTTTAAAATGGCTAAAATGGCAATGTTTATGTTACATACATTTTTATCACAATTAAAATTAAAAAGTACTCATTGCAGTATGACACAGAAAAAACACGGGGTCTCCTCAACATTCCTCAAACATGCCCAGCTCACCCTACCTCAGGGTGATGCTGTGCCTGCCCTCTGTCCGAGAGCCTTCCCACCATTACTCCCATGGTCACTCACTGCCTTTGCTGAGGCGCCTGCTCAGAGCTGCTTCCACGGAGAAGTCTTCCCTGGTCACCTGATCCAAAGGAGCATCGCCCATGATCCACGTTCCCCTGGCCCTGATGTGTTTTTTTAATGGCACATATCACTGCCTGAAGGGGCACTAAATGATTGTTTATTCTTTCTCCTCTTCCTGAATGTGCATTCCATGAGGACAGAGACTTCGCTGTCATCTTCTCTGCCGACCCTCAGCTTCTAGAGCAGTGACTGGTACTTAGTAGGTGCTTAGGAAACACTTGTGAAAGAAGTGAAAATAAAGCTGAGTTTTTGTCGCCGTCATTCTACTCTGGACCCATTGCCAGCACCCGGAAGCCTGCTGGGGTGTGGCGGCTATGGGAGACAAGCTGGGAGGGTTGAGCTGGTGGAGACAAACAGAGAGGGGAAGGCACCTGTACTGGAAAGAAAGGAAGGGTGACTGAGCGAAAGAGTCACAGTTTGAGATCCCCAATTTGACTGAGTCCACGCTTGTTTTATGTGTTCAGGCCCTTTTATGGGCTAGTGGATGGCTTTCCGAGGAGAGAAGCCAGACGGGTGGGGTCATGTGAGGCAGGCCAGGCTTTCTCGGAGCTGTGGGTGTGGACAGAGACCACAGTGAAGCCTGTTCCCTTTGCAGGAGTGAAAGCCAGCCATCTGAGATGCGCTGCAGCTGACCTGGGCAAGGGGCCAGACCAGGAAGCAGGGAGAAGGGACAAAGGAGAAGGTTAGCAGGCAGCACAGGGTGAGCCAGGATCCCCGCTGGGGACAAAGGTCAAGTTTGCACTTCCTTTAAGTGCAAAGTTAAGGCAACTGGGCCATCGGACATAGAGACCATAAACAGGAATTTCCACAGGGGACATTAGGGTGTGTACACCTGGGCAATGGGGGAACAAGGGAAA